GTATTCCCGTACGCGCTAATCATCATCGCGTGCGTGATTTTGATCCTCGGCATTGCCGGTATCATATACATATGCGTCTCCTGGTCCAAGTAAGTGCTCTGATTTTAATGCTGAAACTTTTTAATACTGCGCGAGTTAAAATAAATCGATAAATACATTTATAAAAAGATAATTAACGAGGAAGCTAAGATACAACACGCGATATTACGGTTTATTATAGATTATTAAAGTAATAAACAATTTAAATTAAACACTTGTACACAGAAAAAACGATGTTATATTAACAGCATTGGTCAGCAGTATTCTAATTGAAAATCTTGTTATTCTTGTTTATTTAATAGATAACGGTATTTATGAAATACAAATAAGATTTTAATAAAACATGATGTATTTGTTTCATTGAATTAACAAGATTATTTTTAATTAAATTACTGCTAATAATACGACATAATTTTTTTCATGTACATGATAAATTTATTACGGATAAAAATAACCTGCATATAGATATAATTAAATATAATATGGAGACGATGTTTCAAAAAATTTGAATTTGTGTTGGCTTGCAAACTTAAGCTAGTAGATTTTCATGACATTTTTGCATGTTGTTTTAATAAAAATTGTTGCATATACAAATACTGAAATAGAGAATATCACAATTGCTATTACCGTTTTAGTTGTTATTACGATCGCTGAGAGAGTTGTTTCATGAGTGTGAATATTCATTTGACATCAAGTACGAGCCATGCAAATTTATACCGCTCTTCATTACCTCCATTAGCTTTAATTGCGCTTTCCGCTTTGAATATCTCCGCAAACACTTATTACTTCGACATTGCGATCGCGGCAAAATTAGTTCTTCCGAAGTATTTACTTCCGCGACGAGGAATTTAAAGCTTATCCCGAGAGATTCTCATCGTGAAAATGTTACATAGGTATAAAGCGTACAAGGAACGTATGCAGCGCATGTATGTGGTGCCACGATACGATCCCGTTTATGTGGAACCCAATTTGAAGGAATACGAGACGCAAGTGCTTCAGATGAGCGTGCCGGTTGACGACAACGATAGCTGCAACGATTTACAATTGGATTTCAGCAACAAAAATCACGCGTTTAGTCTGGACAATGTCAGCTACATCACCAAAGATCATGGAGACAGTACCGGTAATTCGCAGCAGACGATATATTAGGTGTTGAACTTAATTCCTGCCGTTTTTCGTCTCCAAAATTGATTTGTTTCGAAGGGAAATACCTTAATCAGAGTATTATTAATAAAGTATTATTAATTAGTAATAAAGTAGAAAATGGAAGAAATTACTTTGATTAAGGTATTCATTCATCTTCCCTTCGAAATAAATCAATTTTGGAGACGAAAAACGGTAAGAATTAAATTTAATACCTAATAATATCTGCATACTTAATGCAAGCTGAATTTTTAAAAAATATGTAGATGAAGATTGCAGAATTAAAGTATTCTGCATTTATATCTCATTTCATGTTATTATCCACAATCAATAAATTACAAAATGAAACTAAAAACATATTTATCCTCATACTCCATAAACATTACAGTGTAAAAATAAAATATTAATTTAATAAAATATTAATAAAATATAAAATAAAATATTAATTTTAACTTGAAGACGTTTAATGTACTTTCTGAGACAATATTTTTGCATGTCTCAGAAAATCCACTATACGTCTTTAAGTTAAAATTAACATTCTATTTTTTTACAGTATAATTTTCCTTAAACTGAAGTTATTTCATTCAGAGGATTAACGTAATAATTAAATACTTTTTGAACAATACTAGTTTGTAGTGGATATCGGAGATGTATAATGAACTTATGTGTTCTGCTTTAAGGCCAACAAAGCCCCGTTAGTTCCGAAGCGGCGACCACGGCACGAGCATCCAGTATTGTCGGCAATCACGGCGATACCAATATTCATTCCCTAAGACGGTCCACACTGGGCCGAAAGAATCACAGCGCGAGCAACACGAATACCCTCAACAATCGCGACGCGACGCCAGTACTTAATCCCTTGTACAATCACGGCGGTGATCTGCTGAGCCCTAGTCCGTCCAATGACAACGTTACCTTCAGGGAGAGGAAGGATTACTCGCATCTCGGATTTACCTATCTGGGCGAGCAAAGTCCCGTGGAGACCACGACGGAATTGTAAGTCTTGCTCCGAGAGACGATGTGCGAATGTTTGTCACTTTAAAGACTGCCAACGAATTATATACGTATCCGCGAAAAAGAAAGGTTGAGATATCATCTTACAAATGATAACTTACAGCATCCTGTAATTTTTATTTTGATACATATATCGTATACACGATAAGACGAACAACTGTGATGGACATAACATTTTTTTTCACATCAAAGTTCAATCAATGATAAGATTTGAGCGGTAAAAAATTTCAAATCCCACGCGTAAAAATCCTATCAACGAATATCGTCTCGCATTTACGACATACGTAAAATCAACATTCACCTATCCTTCGCAACGAGCGGATGTAACTCTTTTTGCATTTAATTTTGACAAATGCATGAAATACAACGACGAGAAGAATTCTCGACGCCACGTAGCATTTTTCTCCCGACGCGTTAAGCAACATTAAAGAGCCATACGAAGAGCATATGAAAGCTTATAAATAGTTGAATGACTTTGTATCTATATGTTCTTCCTTTCATATGTCATCTTCTGAATGTGTACCTGCTGTGCTGATTCAGCGCGCGCAATGCAGCCGCGGAATTCCCGGTGGGACACGTATTCTGAACGAGTTGTTCCGTATGTGATATCCATAAAAGAGCAGTGTTATAGCGTTTCAGATACGACGGCGGAACGAGGCCGTGAAAATATCGCAAGCGTAAAAGGCGACTGTGAAAGAGAGCGCGGATATCCTTTAGAGCCAGCCGATATTCCGCGCGATTTATTTTCAATCCAAGCATCGCGTTTTCGCGTTGAAGCCGATAGAGCTTTTGCTAACAAATTGTAAGATTGCGAATAATCGCAGCGCCTCGAATTAATTATCGCAAGCCATTACGCGACTGTATACACAAATATGAAATAGTTGCTGTACAATAACTGAGTTTCGATTAATTTCAGAAAAAATTAATGTTTTTCATATTTTTCACTTGTGTGGACTCTCATCCGTGATGCGTAAATGTACATTTTAATTATAGAGAGAGAGAGAGAGAGAGAGAGAGAAAATATCACTGCGATTCAAGTTGTAGACTTAAGTTTCGAGGACGAAGCTATACTTGTTATATTGTACGAACGGCGTGTACTTGTGAATGCATGTCTCTGCGCGAGCCCCGTTGGCTCGTGCGACCTTGTAAATGATCGATCTCGATCACGTTGTGTACTATATAATACCTTTTTTTATTTATACGATCGCATGTTTGCTCATGTCATTCTATTGTAATCACAATTAACCGAGGCGATGATGATGGTGCATACTGTTTGTACGTGATCGCAAGGCTACCGATGAAGCTTCATGGCAGTCGTCGAGCGTTTCCATCGCGACTTGTTCGCCTCTTGTTCACACGACCGCGATAATTAACGACTGCCATGCGGAGAACCCGTCATCGACGTAAATGGTGGAGAGCGTACTTAATTAGGCACGCGTAATTGTCCATTTCCTCTTGCAGTTTTCGACCACGCTATTCGACTTTGTGGACTGAAAGGTCGACAGATCCGCGGGAAGATGTTGGGAGAGGCGACGTTGAGAGGAATTGCGTATATGATACGGCTTGATTGAATGTATATCTCTAGTCGTATACAGCAGGCGTCCACTGCCGTGCAATTTATAAGCCGCGTTTTATACTGAAAGAGAAAAAAAGAAATCACGTGTATGTACGTGTTACAAGTGTTCTCCGATTATAGCGTTGATACCTTTACTCGTATATAGTTGTATAATATTTAAGCGCGAATTCTGTAAAAAATTGTTAATACCTAATAATAAATTTATTATATTTACATAATGATGGAGAGTTTTTGTTTACAACACCAACGATCCACAAAAATATTCTTCCATCGCAAAATACATGACCGTTCTGCCGAATTGTTACGTAAACGTTATTTCTAGTTTATTCAAGTTTTCACACAGCTGAAGCAACTTTGTCTGATTCTCACGTAATATGTTTTGCATTTTCACATACAATAAATCATGTCTTTAAAAGCGGGAACGTGTGGAGTATATTATCCAATATAGCACACTTTATTTAAGATGTCTAACATGTCTTATTTAACAGATCATCGTTAACATTATTATGTAAATTTTTTTTTTAATTGATTGACCTATAATTTAACAACTTCGAACCCTTTGTTAAATTACAGATAATTTTAAATGTATGATTTGAGTATTTTGTTAGATCCAACAGACAGTATTATAATCATATATTATGAATATATGTTAACGATACTCCAATTTCACTGTATTACATCTTTTTATACGTATTTTATTATCATTACACTGATAAAGACCTAATCAAAAGGGTTGAAACGTCTGCAATTTTTTGCAAGAATCAAATATACGAATTTACACATGTCTAACCTATGTTGGCTGATTTCACACTATTCCTTGGCTTTATTTAAGAGACATCCTTAGAATGTCCAGAGGACATAGAAACGTTTTTAAGGCTTCTCTTGGAGGTCTGTGTTAAATGGGATGTAAAATTACTACGCCCTTGTAAAGTTATTGCGTAGCTAACTTTATCGCCTCGATAGTATTTATAATACATTACACGTAGAGTTGCTGACACGTGATCCGTCCTTCCAAGCGAAAATTAATTTCAAAGTTCGTTCCAAAATCACGTAGCCCGCTGTGCTTTCGACAGTTGCGACTTCATGCTCGAAAGAGAAACAGTTATTATTCGGAATAATGCTCAACATATGCAAGTCTTTAATTAGAATAGCTAAAACATTTTAATTAGAACGTGGGAAATTATACTTGGAGCCGCCTTAGATCTCACACTCATCATTCACACTCGTTGGTGGGAATTGTAAGTGTGTCGGTGAGGTACAAACCCGTCGACGGGATCGTTCTGGGTTGCGGGCGGGTTTCAACCGTGCCCGATGATAGAGCGTCGGCGCCGCGACGGTGGGAGCACGCAGACGCATCTGGACCGGCGTCGGTGACGTAGAAACGAGAAACTAGAGGCGAAAGCGGGATCCGGAGGCAGACTCGTCCGTTTTGCCAGGTAACGTTCAGGCTGCCCGCGGTGGTGACGGCACACTCGATCGCGATCCTCCTGCCTGGATCAACACCCGAGAAATTGTTTGTAATCACACGAGATAGGCAATTATTGTGTCCACGCGTTACGCGAATAAATTACTGGAGGCATTTCATCGATCCTCCAGCGTATCGACAAGTAACAGGCGGGTCCGTTCTCCCGTTCGCGACGCCGACAGCTCGGGCCGCGCAAATTCGGAGCGTCCAAACGATCGAACAGAGATGACGTACCATAAAGGGATCGTGAACCACCTGTGAACCGAATCGGAAACGCCAAGACAAGGATGGTCTTTGACAATTACGGAACGTGCATCCGCTTTTGTGATTTCAACACTACAGTGTAATGTTGTTTGTAAAATAAACAACAGATTGTAATTGTGTAATTGTGTAACAGTTACATTGGCGAACATCAAAAGCAAGTGATAGACATTGTAATCGAGAAGAGTGACCTAACTCGTTCGTGACAGGTAAATACTTGTATATATAGTACTAAATTATAATAGTGTTTTGATAGTTTGATTATTCATTTATGTTTAATGAATGAATAAATGTAATGAAGTTGTATAAAAATAGCTAAAGAATTTAAATAGATAAAGTTTAAATAGATAAAGAATTCTAAATTGTGTTTGACACGGAATTTCTGAAATTAAAGAGAGAGTTAAGGAAATATATATATAATACTTATATAATTAAAAAAAGTACTTGTTAATTTTCTTTTCGATAGATTTCTAAAGGGAAAAGTTATCCTAATTTAATTATCCTATATTTTTCCACTTCTGCTAATATTTAAATTTCAGAGCCATGAAACTTTTCAAAATTTTATCCTTTTAATGTTACTTTGAAAGCAATAAGAAATAATCGAAAAAACGTTTTTTATATAATATTTTTTAACATACAGTAAAAAATAAAATAAAATTTTAAAATAAAATAAATAATCTACCATAAATATATATAATAAAGAATGGCTTAAAATATTTAAATAAAATAAATTAAAATAAGGAGAGCTACGAACTAAAACAAACAAATTTTAATATATACCTGATACAGTTGATATTAAACATAAAAGTAAAAGCAAAGATAAAAATATGTCTACATAAATATAATCTACCATGTTTTTTCATGTTTATTAATTTAAGATAGAAAAAGAAAAATGTTTGAATGTTTTAATTAAAACATTTTTTAAGTATATTATTAAAAAAATATATGTAACTCACTTTAATTAAATTTAACATTTAACATTTTTAAGTATTTTTAAAAGTACATATAACTTACTTTAATTAAATTCGACATTTAAATGCAATTATTATTATTATTCTGTTGAAAATAGTTGCAAAGCAAACATGAAATAAAACATTGCATATTTATTAACATGAAATAAAACATTGCATATATTTATATTTATTATAAACATTGTATATTAAAAATGCTTAATTAAAGAAGAGTTAACGAGTTTAAAATTTATATAACAAATTCTATTACGTTTCATCCTATATTTGAGCTTACAACAGGTCGCTCTGTTATATTTGCAGATTGATGACTAATTGGAAAATCAAGGATAACAGACATGAAATACTTAAAAGTCGCGTTGTTCACGTTCAATCTATTAATATGGGTAAATAACATGCATGCACATTTTGTAACATTATAAAATATAAATTAAGTTTAGAAATAGCGACACGTGTCACGAGCACTTAGACGCAGATGCTCAAACTATAAATAATTCTGGCGTAATTCTGTACTTTGGAGCAAAAGAATCATTTTTCATATTATTGTATTGTTCTCGGTTGAATTAAATTCCGATTCTACCTCTGGAGGAAAGCCGAGAGAATTTTAAGAGTCGCGTCGCTTGAATTTACGCGATGCTCAGAAAAATATAGTTCCCTGAGGGATACAGAATTACTCTCACTGGTCGCGATAAAGAAACAATCGTAAATTCATTGCCTTTTCCTTTCGGCAGTTGGCTGGCTGTACGGTGCTCGTTATAGGCGCGTGGTTACTCCTGGAGCCCAGCAAAGGACACATCCTGAATCTTTTCGTACCTGATATTAAGCCGCACGAGACTATTAATCTAATAGCTTACAGCCTCCTCGGGCTTGGCTTCATCGTACTCACGGTTGGCTTCTTCGGTTGCCGCGCCGCACTACGCGGAAATCAATGCATCCTCGCCACCGTGAGTGAAACGACATTTTTATTACCTCCGCCCCTCGGGGGCGCGCGTCGCCCTATAATACCATTATAGACGTCGGGTCAGGGTCGGTGATGTTTTTATATCGGTGATCGTTTTTCCCACAGTACATGAGCATGTTGATCGCCCTTATCATCACGGAATTGGTGACGGCCGCGATCGGCGGGTTGATGACTTTCCAGATCCTATCGGATCTGGAGGAAAGACTCTCCAATAAACTAAAGGTGGATTATGGTCACGATTCGACCAGCGATCTCCCCTTCAGCCACAGTTTGGACTTTGCGCAGTATAAGGTGTCGTACCAACAGAGCTGCTCGTTTGACTGCTCATTGGTTTTTATGCGGCATGTCTTGTCATTAAAAAAATCGCTTATTTTTGTTATATAATCTTTTTTTTTGATTGTGATATATTTTGTTCAATCCGTCTTGCGTATAATTTTTTAACTATCAATATTAATTATGAATTTTTGTACGTTTTAGTTGATTCAAGTTCGCGGATACGTGCTTTCCAGATCGCAGCACATAGTAATTGTATCTATGCACGACACTTTAGCGAAATGATACGAAAAATTTTTTTTTCTTTTTCTGTTTAAAATGTTATATTTAAAATTATTTCGTCTCATTTTCCCTGCAGCATGTATTACGCGCCAAAATACGCACGTAAATTATGTTTCATGCATGATGGGGTCGCATGCGATGCTTTGTCAGAAATCGTCTGCCCGATGAGACATTTCGCGATGGTTCGAAGAGCACATGGATGATTCCATTGCAGTTTAATTGCTGCGGTATATACGGCGATGACGATTACAATGGCACTGCTTGGTGGAGGGATGGTCAAATCTCGGGACACAAGAGGCAGGTTCCCCTCACGTGTTGTGTTCTCAAAAATAGCGAGGTACATGTTTGAATTGATTGATTCTAAAACAACATATATGGATATTGAATTATCTGAAAGTTGAGAGTTTATAAAAGAGAGTTTCGAGAAAGCGAAATAATAAAATATATAAATTCACATACAGTGTGTAACATTGATATTTAGAGATCTCTTTTGAAAACCATATAAGTTGTGCATAATGTACACTTTAATATTTTGATTGTTTTATGAATAATTTAATCTTCCGATTCATCTTTTTTTAAACTGTTCTTTATCTTAAATATCTAGTTAAGATCGACGGTTAGTCAGTAAAAGCGAGAGCTTCTGTTTTACAGAATAAAAATACAGGCAGCAGTCCAATGAGCGTTGTATCGAGAGTGTTTCACAAAAATGTGAGTAAAATGTCGGCGACGAAGCGAATGTATGAACTTTATGTGAGTAATCTTTTGTCGCTGGCAGCTGAACGAGAAACCATGGCTGCATCCGCAGCCTAAGGATGAGGCCGCATGTCAAGTAGAAGACGAAGAGGGTCACGAGGGATATAGGCACAAAGAGGTAAGTACGCATCGTGCCGCGAAGCATCATGCCGTTGCATGTTACAGTGCTGCATATTTCAAATGAACAACGCGTTTTCTCAGGGCTGCCTTGGAAAAGTCACGAACTGGCTGCAGTGCGAGAGCTTTACATTAGTATTCCTCGGTATGGCAATGGCAGGAATACAGGTAAATCTTTTTATTATTTTTTGCAAGCTCTTGGAAGAAACAATTTCGAAGAAAATTCGATGTAAAATCAAGGATTCATACACTGTAAAAAATACAATGTTAATTTTAATATTATAGAGGACTTTCTAAGACATGCAAAAATTAACATTTTTGTGTTAATTTTAACATTTTTGCATGTCTCAGAAAGTCCATTGTACGTCTTTAAGTTAAAATTAACATTTCGTTTTTTACAGTGTAATTTTACTTAAGAAAGTGCCTTTGACTTTTCACACTTTATAAAACATTCTTATAAAAATTGTATTTTACAATAAATTACTGTTCTTTATTTTAAGGAATTTTTTGTATCTTTTTGAAATAGAGATTGTAATGAATTATAAATAACAGAACAGACTTATTAAATATTTTCTTAATAGTCTCCTCTTTTGTGTCTTCAATATTTTGTAAAAAGACTTTATTTAAAGAAGGGCTTTTGATCTTCAAACTTTATAAAACGCCCTTGTACAAATTTTATGGTAATTACTCTTCTTTATTTAAAAGAACCTTTTGCATTTTTTTTTTCAAATATAATCGATTACAAATAATAGAATAGATTTATTAAATATTTTCTTAAATTAAATCCTTCTTTGCTCTAATATTTTGTAAAAAAGAAATAATCAAAATGCATTTCAGACGTTCGGGATAATAACGTCCGCTTTCCTCTGCCGAACGATAAGAGATATGCAGGAAGAATGATCCAGGATTCGTAGTCTCAATGAAGTAAAGAGAATGTCGTGGCACGTCCAATCTTTACATTGACAACTTTGGGGGAGAAGAAACATATTTATTTTATTTCTTCGGTATTGCTACTTGGAAGATTGCCGAAATTCGTTTCGGTTATGTGAGTTGGGACATTAATCGGGATTTGCAGCTAGGAAATATTGCGGGGAAGAAAGTAATCTAAATATTTGTTCTATTCCACAAGGTGTCTGTTCATTGAGAACTTCGAATCGAAATAACAATAAGTGCTACGCTTAAATTTAGATCGATTTCCACTCCTGTGCGCGTTTTGCTGCCATTCAGCAATAATGTGACCAAAATACACCCTGCTGTACATACAACTGTATGCATCTGTGTCGTGTTCAATCTAACTAATACTAATAAATAGCGATGTTATCGCTGGTGTTAGTACTTCACGACGACCATCGGGGGAGTTTGGCTAGCAACGTGAATTGTTATCCATGGCGTTCTATCGTCTTGTAAATACATTTGCCAAGAAGGATGGATATATGCGCTGCGTGCGTGAGAACTTTCGAGTTGTTTTCTTTTTTTGTGGAAAATTTACCTAATTTGAGATGCAAAATAATTTTTCGCACAAAGTTGTACATGAATTTTTGAAGAAATATCATAATTTTTAACGAATAAGATATTTATGTGAGTATATTTAGGGGAGACTGAGGCTGATTGATGTATTCTATTAACAGACTGTTAAACGATGTTAGTAGTTCAATAAAAAACGCGTTACAATCATATGACGCTGATCCACTTTGACTGAACTTGATGAGTTTTCAAAGTACGTTTAACTAGCCTAGATTCTTAGCTATAAATCGAATTAAAGAAATTACAAAATTTCATTTACTTAGTAAAATGTCATTAAATTTTTACGTATATATATTTCTACTTAGCCTAATAATATATGTTCAAGATAGTGCCAAAATAATCTCTGTGTTTCGAAACTTGAAAAAAAAATTACAAGTTTTGATCAATCCCAGCTTCTCCTAATGAACGTGTATGTTAGATCTTTATAGACATTTGTCATCCATTTCGAAATGGATGATGCACATATACATATATACATACATATATTATATACATATATTGGTGTAAAAAAATGCGTCATATATATTCTTTAAGGAAATACTTTCCTCTCTCCGACACTAATTTTCGAAGAATATATTATTACAACTTGTGCCAAAAGAGTTTATTATACAATGAGTGACTTTTAATATGTTTTTATTTTCTCAAAACACTTGGCAAAACGAAATGTCCCGCGTTTATAGAACGCACCTTAATGATAATAAAAATGTTGTTCTATGTGTAAAAATTTGTTATTTATTTTATATTCTCACAAATTTATATTTTATCACCACTAAGATTTTCAAAATTATATCTATTTACAAAATCAGTAGCTGTATTATTATAAACATACATTCTTAACGTTAATTTTATAAATTGTATTCGTTTAAATATAACAGTATCATCGTATCGAATAAATCTATTAATTTGATATTAATTACATCGAAATTAATAATTAATAATTACCCGATAAGCTTTCTTCATAAAAATAAACATCACGGTCGTTCAGCGGTTGAACTGGTCGACAATTCAAAAGTAATGGGCCCTCTACTGAACAAAGTTTTCGAAATTTTTCTATCTGTAAATTAAATTATATGACGATAAAAAGCTGAAAAATATTTTAGTGACGTATGATTTTACCTGAGATGAGGAAATAGCGATTGGTTCTTGCTGTACGATCCATGTGACAATTTCACTACAAGGTGGCTGGCTAAGAGAACCGCTATATGTATAATAATCTCTGTCAAAAGGCGCAAAAATCCATTCTAATGGAAAAGGAGGTATGTAGACTATAGATCCCGGACAGGTAATACGCCACAAATTGCTTATGATATGATCCAAATAAGGATTATCTGTGTCATTTATCTGCGTCATCGTCAAATGTATTATGATAAGTAAGAATAATTATGACGACTCACTTTGAATATAGTATATTGCATTTTACTGGTTTAATTTCTTAATACTTGTGATAAAACATTCATTTGTTAACAAAAAGTATACTTGAAGGAAGAACGAAGTAATTGCTATTCCATCTTTTGCTCCAAGCGCGATCGCATCTGTTGGTGATTTAAGTCCACGTTTTACATGAATAATTTGTAGTTCCATAGGAAAACGGACATAGTCTAAGGTATGTTCACTGCCCTCTTCGTTTGATGGGCCCCAGTGAAAGAGAACATTAAAGAAATCATACGTGTCGGTCAAAGGTCCCCCTTGGAGTTGTGGCCATGTGGTACTAGTCCAGAATCCTCGGAGTATTACTGTATATTAACATAATGTTAAACCTACATCATTAAATATACTTTAATTTGCTTGTAGAAAATTTACCAGTATGACCATCATTTGCAATAGTCATCGACAGAGGTCCGCTATTATAATTGCTCCATCGAAGTGGCTCAGATGGTTGTACTACTACAGCGAGCCTAGTTGTGATATTAATAGGCGATTGATTGCTACCAGTGCTCTCAGGATATAGATCTTTCCATGTATGAGGACCATTCTGATAAGCAGCATAGCCGAACGAAAAAGTGGGTGGACGGTAATCGTTTTCCATCCATGCAAATAACTGCGTCCATTCCAAAATTTCAGTTAATAGTAACACTAATGAAAGAAATTCAATATTGTAAAAATATTTCAGTTATTTTAAAAATAGAACCTTGAATTGATGATTACAATATTAGAAAATAATTTTATCATAAAACTCTCCCTCTCTCTGTGGAGGTTATTATTATTTTATAATTAAATTATTGCTTTTTATTTTTCTGAAAGATACGCACCCATAAGTAGAACACTGCTGCACGCAACCATACATTCTACTAACGAAAAACCCAACATTTTTATATTAAAGCTTTCCTGACATTTGTGTCACAAAAGCTCGGTGTTAAAACCCACATGCGGTATTTCCGACGTAATAAATTTTTAAGAGAGCGGTATACTTCACAATTTGTCCGATGTTTCATTCCGCATTAATTTCTATCAAAAATATTTAGAAAAGTACGAAATATAATGTAAAATGTCAAATAATTATTACCGTCAAATAATTTTTAGGAAAATTGATGTATAAAGCTTACTTCAATTTATAAAAATAATGTGAAGCATGGTGTGAAGATGATGTAAAGATAATTCAAAGATTACGATGTATTAGTAACTTCATGGTTAGTAACACCATGAGTAACTTCTTACCTTTATTTAAACAATCTTTAAATTGACAATTATTTATTGCATTGCATGATTACGTCATGCAATTACTCAGAACTTATTTCCAATAATGTCATCAAAATAGTTACGATATTAGTACCAATATTTTAAATATAACATGCCGCGTTTAAAAGAGAACTGAAAATTTAATTTTAGATTTCCTTCTATTTAAAAGCTCGATGTTTTCATCGTGATGTATGTACAGATGACATCCAAATCTAAGAGTGTCCAATCACGTAAATAAAAATTTTAATCTTAATAACGTTTTATAGATAAAAAATTTGTTCTAGAGATACACTTGTTTATTAGCTATATAAAAATGTCCTTATTATATTTATGTAATAAATTTATTTTTAAGTGCGTTCTACACAAGAACAAAAATTATGCACGACGTCATCTTCAGGCCTTCCGAAATGGCGGCAATCTCCGATCGATATCAGTCGCGTTGCAGTGTGGAGTAAAAAATTTCCCCCATTACTTTTGACAAATTATTGGTCAAACAGTGGCACAGCGATACTTGCAAACACTGGAAAAACAGGTTTTCTTCATTCAATATAAATTCCGGACAATACATTACGCATTTATTGTTTAATAATTTTTAGTTAACATCGAATTGGCGAATAGGAGATTGCCGATAATGTGTGGCGGCCCATTGAAGGATGATGAATATCAGTTTATGAATGTACAATTCCGGTGGGGCCCATCCGACTGTCGAGGCGCGGAACATTCTATCGACAACATTTGGTTAGAGATATGAATTTGATATTAAAAGTTACTAATCATGTGTGAAGAATACATTAATATTTTTCATTTAATTAAAATTAAAATTAAAATTATATTTTATTTTAAATGAATCACGAATTTGTTGTCATAATTGTGGGATCAATGCAACGTCAAAATGACAATATTTATCAAGGTATTCGATGGAGGCGCAAGTCATGCATTGGAATACGCGTTATGGATCAACAGACAAGTGTTATGACAAATCTGATGGAATTTCAATACTCTCCTATCTTATGCAGGTACAATGGCCGAAAATTAATTAAAATTCGATCTGTCAAAATCTTCTTATGTGATAAAGTTTTATTTCCAGAATAACATTTTGTTATTTGCTGTTGTAATTTAATTATAACATTTAATTGTGATAAAAAGGTTGTTGGTTGTCCTGGGATTCCAGACAATCCTGCGCTTGCCCTAATCACTCATAAACTCCCAGAAATAAAACGAATGGATAGCACCATAAATATTACTCCGGGTAATTACATAATATGAAATGATCTCTTTTTTTTAAATAATATTTATTAAACTTTATTAATCACACAGAATAGATCATATAATCGTTAATGTTAGTGTTTCCTTTCTTTTTCTTTTCATTGTAGCAAATATTGAGAGCAATTTTCCAAAAATTATACAACTTTATTTTAAAATATACTTTAAATACTTATTTTAGAATATACATGTATTATTATTATTATTATATTCGATAATCTTTTTATTTCCATGATAACTTTTATTACGTAGAATATTGTTTACAATATTAACATTTTTTAATTAATTATGTGCTTATTTACAGATTGTTTACGTTGGATGATGCACGCATGCACTTGTCCTGGATATTACACTTATACAGGTTCTCTTACTTTCCCTCCGTATAATGAATGCGTCACTTGGATAATCGTGCCAAATGCTATAAAAATATCTTCTAATCAGGTATATTAAAAGCATATGTGTATTAATTTAACTTAAAAAATTATTTACAGTTTTAAATATTGACGTATATAATGTGATAATTTACATTTATTATAGATCGAAGCATTCAGAAGCCTTTACAATCATAAATGGGAGCATATAGTAGGAAATTATAGATCACAACATCTTCTTCATGGAAGAAGAATTTTCTTTGCCACAAATGATGCAGTAGTTTGATTGATTAAAGTATATTATTTTTTCTTTAAAGAAATAAATTCAACTGGAAATTATTAAACTGAATTCACATTGAACAAACAAGTATGAACAAATATGAATGAATAATTTGTTGAAATATATTGTTTGTGCTCGCTTGCTTGCTTGCTTTAATTCGGCTTATAATGTATATATAAAATAGGATCTCCCTTGTATATTTTCATTTTATTTTATGAAAAGTATGGATAAGAAATCTATTTTTCTGTCAATATTTCGAAATTTTGTAATTTGATGATATATTTTTATATTATATTTATGGCAGAGAGAAATCTGAGATACATGAGGGCCTTTTTCCTGTAACCGTAAAAATGCCCCCGAGTACTACTGCCCATTGAAGAAGTGGATGTAAACTATACAACAATATCCATTTTTTCCGGTGCTCCTGATGGAAATAAATCGCTGAAATCACTGACAACTAAAATCTATCAAATTTATAGAGATTCAGATTTCTCTCTGCCTGTATATTCATAGTCAGATCTTATATCTTATATTTAAGATCGTTTTAAGTACAATCATAAGATGTCATGAACCAATCAGAAAGCCGTATTAGCATCTTAGGACATTACTTAATATAGTCTTAAAATAAGAATCGACTATGAATATCGGCTTTAATGCCTATTGCACAATGGATACGATGAGAGATGAGCGACGAGCGATATCCAATAAGAACTTTGCTTTGTGTTGTCACGTGCAAAAACAGAGCTTTCACGATTAAAAGCCGATATGTATATAATGTAAGAAATTTATTTGTTAATACTTTTAAAATATTTAATTTTAATTATATTATTGAAATTTAAAAGTAACACAAATATAGATATTCAAATAAAGGACGGTAATATCTGAAACATGGCGGACCAATCAATGCACTACTTTATCATATTGCAATTTGCAATTTGAATAAATTTGGAATTCTTCTAATTATAAGCAAACTACATTTAATTTAAAATTGTAAAGAAAATTTAAATAAATAAAAAAGAATCAATTTGTAGAGGCCCTCCACCACCTCAGCCAATTTTTAACGGCCTCTTTTTCTCAGCAAACACCAAATTACATATAATAATTAATATAACTGTAATTAATATTACTATAACACGTAATATATTACAGTTATATTTTTACCGCAAATTACAACTAATTGTAAGAAGTATATTACGTGTAACTTGAGGTTTCTTGGATTTGAGTGTCTTTATGTATTAATATTTTCATGCAATATTTATTTGATACCAAAATAAGAAGAACATAAAGAAAGAATACACCATAATAATATAGAGACAATATAAGTTTAGGTCTCCTAAAGTGACACTCCCTTATTTTTCGGAAACTAACTATTGCACTTTATTAATATTAATAAAATCATGATCTGTTTGGCTAATTAAAGAAGTACAAACTCATAATTCGTAGGATTGTGGCTTGTTTCTGATCAAATCAGCTAAAAACAAATTCTACAAATGCGAAAATAAAATTCTTACGATTTTCTTTTGCAAATTGTGAGGTTTAAATAATAGTGACTATATTATTGATAATATTATTGATAATATTACGTCATTTTAAATACTTGTAGTTTCCGAAATAAGTTTTATTTATGTTATTTTTTCTCTTAGTCTTGTCATAATACGATTTTTAATTTAAAATTAGGGTGCAGCGTAAACCGACACACCTGTCCGTAAAACAGACCATGAGCTAACTTAATCTTTATAATGTTGCTTTATAGTGTCAAATAAGTCTATTGGAGCTGAAGGCAATCGTGCATATATGGAACAACTCTAAAAAAACTATCGCGTTACATATTTGCATCTTGCAGAACAGCATAAAGTAAATATGCATATAATTTAATAAAAATGTTTTATAACGAAGTAAAATGATTCTGAAAAATTTTACATACATTCACTTATAGGTACTTTATACAGATAATTCCTGCAAAAGAAAAAGAATAGGAATACGTAGTTACTGCCTACTGTGTCAGTTTTGGAGCCCATTTTGTCAAACGCTCATTTTTGCATAATTTACGAAAAACTTAATTATTGCAAAATTGCTAACAGTATTATAAAAATTGTTTATACTATCTGATAGAAGACACTTTTTACTTTGTATTTATGTTTTTGAAGTTGTATTTTTACCTTTTGTTTAAGAAATATTGTCTAAAAACAAAGTGGTATGTCGGTATCGGTGACCTTCCTCTAATAAAATATAATACAACACAAAAAATAGACTTAAATCTCTTTAATATAAAATATATAATTAATTGCTTATATATTTTTATGACATTTTTGCTTATACACAGTTGGAAATAATGTGTTAAATTTAACATAAATCGCGTGTCCTAAACGGTCCATTCAAATTTTTGAATTAATTTTTACAAAATAAATATGTTAGAAGATAATACAAATGTTATGTAAGAGAATACAAAGAAAGATAACATCGACACAGTTTGTAAACAAACCATGAAAGCATATTTTTTGTCAGAAAATTAACATTTATGATATGTTAAATTAACACGGATTTTATTTTGTCTTACAGAGAGAGAGAGAGAAAGAGAGAGAGAATTTACGTTTTAAAACACATTATTTTTATGTTACTTGTTCAAGTACTCATAAATTATGTCATTTTGACATTAAAAAACATTGAATATCCATTTCACAAAAAATCTTTAAATAACATAATCACATTATGTTAAATTAACACTTAAATATGTTAAAAAATTCAACACACTGTTGACAAGAACGTGAGTGGACCGTTTCCAATATAAATACACAAATTTTTTTACTGTGTATGTATAAGATATCTTGTATACAAAATGCATGCATATCATAACACAAAATTCACGTATGTTTCAAGAAAATCCGAATTCTGGTTCTGCAATAACAATCTTTAAGGTTTTTATTTAATAAATCTTTTAATAATACAATGTTTATTAATTAGTTAGCGCGATTCCTTTAACGAAAAATTTAATTTTTTCCTACTATGAAAATAAAAGTTGTTGAATTTTAAGAAACTTGAAATTGAATATATTTAAATAAGTTAATTTAGCTAAATTTGTCTTATAATATGTGCCTGTATAAAAATGAAATTACGAAGTTATGTTTTTTAATGCAGATTTTCAGCTCGTTTTTACAAAATTACTAATATCAGAGAGAGAATACCACAGAAAATGAATTTTAAAATTCTTTGACTTTTCCAAGTTTCCAGATGAAAATGAAAAATTTTCCAATACAAAATATGTAAATTTTAACATATTTAGAATCAAGAATTGAAGAAAAGCTAGCCTATATTATTAAAAACAACACAAAAAAGACTTACAATTTGTTAGTAGCACAGCATAATAAAATTTTTGGCGCAAATTCAAGCCAACAAAAAATAAATTAGTATTAGAAAAAAGAATAGCAGTTACGAAAAAAGGCGATCAAATAAAAATATTGAATAAAATATACATAAATTTTAATTATTTTATTAAAATCGTGTAAAGTGCGCGAATTTTGAACAGATTTGACTATAAATCATATATAATATTAAAAAATTATAACAATTATTTGGAATAGGAGCAGTTTAAGAAAATTATGAGCAAATTTCAAAATTTCAGACTTTTTTTACATTTTCTCCTGACTTTTTTCGGTTTTTCCCGTTTTCCCAGTTTTCCAGGTCTGTAGCAACCCTGAGTATATAAGAATATTCCAAACTCTCAATAATTACTAGCAATTATAGAGACTTTGAATATACTTCAAACTTTACCAATTGTATATCGTTAATTTAAGGTTTAATTTTGCAAAAACAGATTAGAGGCTCCCCAACACCCCCATTCATTTTATGGGCGGTCCTCTCTTCTTTGTACTATCTAATAATAATAATAACAATTTTATCTCCAGCTCCTTTATATGCTTCACTTTAAAAGTCTCAAAAATTAAAAGATTTTGTTCCGTCACAAAAAGACCAATCATAACAACTGAAATGCCATTTTATTAGGGATTCATGTCAGTTTAATATGAACTATCGTATAGATCAATATGTGAAAATTAAGATAAATTAAGGTTGCTTAAGGTTAGCACGCGCTTGCGATGGACTAGTATAGTATAAAAAAGAGACACCATTTTTCAAACTTTTTTTGTTAATAACTTTTTAATGAAGGACGACCGATATTTAAAATCTATTGGAGGTCACTTAGAGTGACCTTAACAGCATATGTCAAGATCAAGGTCATCGACGAGATGTCCATTAAAGCACATAATTACCAATATTTTTCCCGGGAATTGATTAAATAGATTAAAATAAAACCAGAAAGTTTAAAAATGATATATTAGGATTCTATTTTTTATTACATACAAAATACATACATATTTTATTAAAAAAGCATATACATGATGGATTATGTACTTTATCTACATACTTGTGTATTTTATATTCAATTACTATTATTAATAAAATAATATAAACACATATTATGACCATATTTATTCAATAAAACGTTAATAAAATAATTAAACTGCCAGCGTGCGCTGAATGCGCTTAACGTTCATCAGAATTCTGATATTACGGAGTTTTCGCAATACTGTTTATTCCAGATACGGTGAACGCTAAAGTCATGTTATCCTTTTCTTAATTAGGTGTGAAGAAAAAGATAACATGACTTTAGCGTTCACCGTATCTGGGATAAACACTATTGCAAAAACTCCCTATTTTTGCGTATTTATTCAAAAGCAACGTGTTGCCGCTATACAGCACGGTCTAGGATCTACGTAGGACTCGAGGGGAGAGTGGGTAATCACTAATCAAATATAATCAAATAAACTATCACTTTTTTGTAGACTTTAGGAAATATATAGTATCTTTATTTCCACAAATCACAAGTGGTGTTCATTTATAATCACAATTCACTTATCGGTATTCGCGTCGCGATATATATATTGTAAAGATTCGGACGGCGTGACGCGAGGTGTTACGCTTATTAATCTAACCGATTTCTGACCCCCGACCGTGTGTGCGGTCGCGCTTATATTCTGTATTTTGGGGGTCAACCTTGGGCCGTCTGCATTGATCCGTCAGCGTT